GGGGGGGGGGGGGGGGTGAGGTGGCGACCGGCACAGACCCACCCCCTCCCCAGAGAGCCAGCAGTGCCCGTTCTCCTCCCCAACCCTTGCCCAGAACCCTAAATGTCTACATGCTACATATGAGTGGGCACAGGTCCTGGAGGTGAGAATGATTACTCATCCCACCCCCTATATGCCATCGTGTGCCCAATCCAGACCCTATATATGCTTGTGTCATGAGAATGTTATATTTGAGTGTCTAGGTTGTTTAATAAAATTGGGACCCATGTCTCCACGAACCATGGAGATGGAGGATCCTCCCCGCAGCTCAGTAGTGCACCTGAACCCCAAGGCCTTGCTTGAGTGGTGGTGTGGGCGGAGGAAGATGTTGGGATGTGGAGGAACAACTGTATCGCAATAATTTCTGAGACAATTAATCGCCCAGCAAATTTGTTATCATGACAGGCGTAATAACAATATTGATATTTTTAACTGCCCTGTACAAAAATGTTTTATCTGAAATGGTATTGACATATATTTTGGGTTTCAGAGTGAACATAGAAGTTGCTTTTGTGTTTGCATCCATATGCATGTTAGACTTTGATAGCTAGTGACGTTAAGTGATGTTGCCCAGAATCTCTGCAGCCTAAGTCTGCTTCAGCAGCAGATTTTCACCTGCTGGGTTAACCGGGTTAACTTTTCTGTAGATACACACAAAATGGGTGTGTACACACAAGCATTCTTACACATACACAAGCCAGTGCCATGACCTTTCCTGTGAGAGCGTGAAATTGGTCGTGGCATTTTAGGATAAGATGAGTTGTCCCGGTGGATTTACACTCACGCACACACGCACAGATGCTTATGACAGGCCATCTGAATGTCCACATATCCATTAGAGCAGTCTCCTCACTCAGCAGGTTTTGTCCAAACAGTCAGAGTGAAAATGTGTTATTCTTTTCTCTGCTTCACAGTCCAAAATGTCTTCATTCACACTGACACACACACACTTGCTGTTTTCACTGTCAGAGGAAGAAAATGAACAAGCGTGCTTAAAATAAATATTAAAGTGCTGGTTTGATTTGTTGAGTAATGCAGCCTTTTACTGCACATTGTCCTCTCGTCAATCAAGAATATTTTAATTACTTGAATACCATCCATCCATCCACCCACCCATCCATCCATTCATTGTCTTTACTCGCTTCTTCCTTTTTGGGTCATGAGGTTCACTGGTGCCCATATCCAGCAGTCACTGTGCGAGAGTCGGGGGACACCCAGGACACGTCTCCAGTCCATCACAGAGCCACAACGGGACAAATGAGACAAACAACCATTCACTCTCTCACTCGCACCTTGGGACAATTTAATTACCAATCAGCCTAACATACATGTTATTGGTCTGTGGGTGGAAACCGGAGTATCCAGAGAAAACTCACACATGCACAGAGAGAACATGTAAACTCCACCCAGAGGGGTCCCAGGCCAGGATTTGATCCAGCAACCTTCTTGCTGAGAGGCAACAGTTCTATCAAATGTGCCATCATGCCGCCCCTACTTAAATACTACGTTTTGGATTTATTTGAAGAAAAATCTAAAATATTTTAAGCCATTTTTTGCAAACAGTGACTTATATTTAACCACTGGCAGAATTACCCTGCTGTCCGCACAACAAAATTCTTTTTGGCTGTTCTTAGTTTTAATTTACTGTAGCTGTCGAGTGACACGCTGCACAGAAGGAAAAAAAAAAAAGACTAAGAGAAGCAATAGATTAAAAATCAGACCGACTCGGTCTTCTTTTTGCACTGCTACAGTGTGTAAATGATGGAGCACCATCAAAACCTTTTGTATGTGGAAGAGAATGAACTCCCAAACACCAGTCCCTCAACTAATTAGCAGGCAGGGAAAAAGGTAAGGTAACGCAATGCTGAATGAAAAGAAAAGAGAAGAAAGAATAAATCCTCTCTCTTTCATTTAGTATGGTAATATTTTCCTCTCACATACTCACTGGGTATGAGAACAAGCAGTTGGGGGACAGTGGAGACAGGGAGAAGCAAGCACAAAAGGGGAGAGATGGAAAACTGGGAGAGATGTATGGAGTGATTTGTTTTTCAGAGCAAAAAAAGAAGAAAATAGGATACAAGATGGAGGAGCTGGAAAGAAATTAAATGAACGTAAGGAATAAAAAGAGTGGTGGAGAACACCACCTTTGCTCTATGTCTCATCCTAATGGATGGCATAAAAGTGTTATGTAGCAAATAAAGAATGGAAAGTATATTTAAATGAAAGAGTTTGGAGCACAGAGCCAAAGATAGACAAGTGAGTAATGACAGATGGTCTGAAATGAAGATGTATGAACAAAAACAGGCAGAAAGTTTCTGTAGGTATAACAGAAAGATTTGACTCCAAACGTCATGGCAGATGGATGCACAGGGAGCCTGACAGAATAAATGGGAATGTGCAAAAAACAGAATTCTGAAGGAATTTCATGACAAACCATTTCCTCTGTTCTGCTTGTGTGTTTGTTTTTACTTTTGTTTTATGTGTGCACACATCTTGTCTCTAGAGAATTATCCACTGCTTCATTAGGTTCTGTTCATATTCAGTTCTCAGTAAGCGGAGCAGCAGATGTGCTACACAAATCTGTCACCGCTGACGCACACAGACACACATATACTCGGCACTATACAAGGTGCTAGTGATATCCTGATGCATGTTCAATAATCCAGGTAGATAAATCTAACAAGGTTGTAAGGTCCTCTGGACGGAGTCTTCTTTGTTGTTAGATGCATAGGGATGTAACTCAGATTATTTAAGAAATTGTTTTGATTTAAAATTTTATTAGTTTAAATTTAAGTAAGAAAAAGACAATTATAGCAGTTTGGGAGTAAATATTTAATATTTAAATTTAAACTTTAGTCATTAATTTAGTTTAACGTTTTTCTTGGTGTAGAGGCAGGGCAGCCGGCTTGGGACCCAAAAGTCCCAGGTTCGATCCCCAGTCACTGCACATCACGTGGCGTCTCTGGGCAGCATGCCTCATCCCCAAAATGTCCCCCGGGCGCTTTCAATAGCTGCCCACTGCACCACCTGGTGGTGGATGGGTTAAATGCAGAGACTAATTTCGCCATTGTATGGAAACATACAGTGCTGACATTGTGATGACATTATTATTATTATTATTCTTAGTTCATGTCTTAGATCTTAATACTGTTTTTCTTTTACATTTTACACACAGTTACACAGTTGCAGAAATGAGTCTTAGTTTTATATCTTTTTTTTATTTTTTATTTTACTGATGTTTCTCTTTTACCTTCATGCCAGTCTTTCTGAAATACAAAAGTAGGGCCCCTTCCCCCAGTTTCTATCTATGCTCTGCCCCTCCTCCCCTTTTCCCCCTTTTCCCCCCACCCCACCCCACTGCCTCTTTTTATCTGTGTGTCATACATAATAGACCCAGTGCAGGCTCACACGTGTCACACATGGGAGGAACTCCTGTGTTTTTTAATACATTTTTAATCCTGCCATTTGTTGCCCCCCTTGTCCATCATAATTTGTACTGACTGCTGAACAAAATCAAAGGACTTGTACTTGCTGCTTCTAGCCTCTGCTGCTCTCTGCTACTAAAAAAAGGCATTTAACCCCCCCACACACACCTTAACATGTTTATTATGACATGAAAGTGGGACCATGTGAAATATCTTGCTGTTCCTCATTAGATGTCTGATTTACCTCTGCTGTGTGTGGGTGTGTGGATGTGTGTGTGTGTGTGTGTGGGGGGGGGGGGACATGTTCCCTATATGGTAGATAATACCTTGTGTTGTTTCTATTGAGTTCTGTGTATTATACTTTTCTTTCTTTAGAGTTAGATTTACACGGACCACTGACAACTCTCTTTACATCACCCCTTCATTCATTAACTTTCTGTCTTTAAAACTGCTTTTTTTTCCCTCTCTTAGAAAAAATCATAATTTTTTCTATCATCATAAGAAAAAAAAGTTACATAATGCAGAGATTTTTCTCCAGTGGCAGCATTGGATTAAACATCCTGTAAATTTTTGTTTTGAAATTTTTACACAAATGCCATTTCTTGTGTAATGATGGTTTAAGTATTATAACGTTCATCACACTTGTTTTCTTTAATTGATTCTGTATGTTTATATGTAAAACTTTTAGCTTCAACAGAGTTGTATGTTTGCTTTTGTCTTAGCGGTTTGGAATGTTTTTTGTTCAAATCAGCGAGTTAGTAAATGAATGATTTAAAGTGATGTCCACAGCTACATGTCTTGGTATGAGTTTGACTGCAAAGATGCTAATAAACAAGATTTTATAATTTATTTTTATTTTTAAATAGAACTAGAAAAATGAAATGTCTTTCAACAACTGTCTTTCTGTTGCATAAAAATACATGGGGCCGAGATGGCAGGGCGGCCGACTTGGGACCCGAATGTCCTGGGTTTGATCCCCAGTCATTGCACATCTCGTGGTGTCTCTGAGCAGAACACCTCATCCCCAGTTGCTCCCTGGGCGCTTCCAATGCCCACTGCTCCACCTGGTGGTGCTGGTGGTGGATGGGTTAAATGCAGAGAGCTAATTTCACCATTGTATGGGAACATAAAATGATGACAATACATACACATTATTATTATTATTATTATTAGTATTTAAATTTTGTTTTGCAGTGTCAGCGTTGTGAACCCCTCTACAATGACAAACCATTCAGGTCAGGTGATCAGCTCCAACCAATGAACTGCCGACCTTGTCAGTGTCACGGCCACGCCTTCTCTTGTCATTATGACATCCTATCTGATGACCAACCAGATGAGCACTATCAAGGAGGAGGAGGAGTCTGTGACTACTGCATGCACAACACCACAGGTGCACTTTTAGTTTATAAGTTAATGCACGAGCTAGGTTTATGTTTAAGCATTTGTTAAATTCAAATTATTTCAGGCAATTACAAACAGGGGCCTAGTGCATATACCTCTGCCTGGATTATTTTATTTTGTAGACTAAGACTGAAATATACATACACATTTAAACATGAGGGTCCCACGTATGGTTTTTCTGGTTTGTATCAATTTTTGTATCCATTGTTCTTTATTGCACCCTGTGTCCGTTACTTACTCTAAGGAAAGAACTGTGAGCTGTGTACAAGTGGCTTCTTCAGGCTGGAGGACTTTGATCCAACTTTAGTTGATGTGTGTCAACCCTGTAATTGCCACACTGCTGGAACAGTCGATGGCAGCACAGTGTGCAACCAGGTACACATAAACACATACTGTTACAAAGCAAGATGTCGATCCCTTAAAAAAATGGAAAAACTGAAAAAGGGATTAATGTGGTTGCTCACTCATTTTTCCTTTGTTCTTCCTGTGTCTGTCTTTATTAGGTTGGAGGTCAGTGTCGGTGCAAAGCTGCGGTAACAGGCCGTCAGTGTGCAGACTGTTTGCCTGGCTGGTTTGGTCTCAGTGCCTCAAATCCAAATGGCTGCATGTCATGTAATTGTAGTGACCTGGGTGTCATCAAAACCTTGACAAGAGCAGTTTCCATCTGCAACCAAAACACAGGACAGTGTCACTGTAAACCCCATGCAACAGGTAAACCTTTGACAAACTATATGCTATTGTTTTGTTTAACTTCTGTGTTTCTATGTTATATTTATTTGTGTCAGAGAAGTCATTGTTCCTTTGCATTTAAGGACTGGTGTGAAGGGTTTAAAGACAAGCTCCTGGATCCTTACCATGCAAACCAGAGTACTTGACTAAAGTTGTGAATTAAATTCTTAAAAATGATACATATCAGTAAAAAGTACTTCCTGGTATATTACCACAGCAGCTTCAGAATGCTTAAAAACATACTTATGGAGCAGTGAAGTGTTTATATGCAATAGATTCCAGGTTGGCTTAGATCTCCAAGGACTTCAAAATGAGATGTAATATGTAATTTAAGACATTGCAAATAACAAATGACCGCAAACTGTGTAACACACATTGATGAGTTATTTTCATACTTACCTCTTTTAGTTTTGCTCTCTAGAAGGAAAACACTTAGTTACATAATGCAAAAGCAAAAAAGTGATTGCTTCCACACCTTTCAGAATTTCTTATCATTGCATCCTATTAATAAAACCATGCAAGATGTCTTAATGCTAAAATAGAATTTACACCAGGCTCATAGCAAAGTAAATCTATCCCTCAGTTTGCTTAATTGTCTTGCAACTCTGCCTTTATTATTCTATAATACAAATTGTTTTTGAGGTTTAAAGAAATGAAAATTTTTTACCCTAAGTGTGCATTACAAAACAAACGTGCAAATACACATTGTGATGGACTCAAACGTCCCAAAGTGATGTGGCTGCCAAAATAAACTGGCTTTTCTGCTGGTAGTGCTTCCAGCCGTTGTGCCTCTCTTTTTGATAAATGGTTTCACTCTCTCCCCTGTGCGTCTTTGAAGACCAAGCTCGTATGAAATGCAAAACTGGCCAATGCTTCTCAACTCTACGCATCATGTGCATTGCTAAGCCTTGCTACCAAGGGTCCATGTTGTGCGTGTGAGCGTGGGCATGTGCACTGATGGTGTTTTTATCTGCTCTTGTTGGTGTGTATTTGTAAATGAGATGGATGAGGCCATGTGTTCAAGTACATTTGTTTTTGCTTAGCTCTGTTTATTGTATGTAGGAGTGTTTGTACATAAAAAGTGTGTGTTTGTGCATGTGTGTGCACGTATGCCATCAAGGACTAAGCTGGTATTTAATTCTCTAATTCAGTGCCAAGTTGATTAAAACAAACTGCTGCAGCCCCTTATATTTTTCACACTTTCTTCTTACAAGACCCTTTTTTTCCCCGTCCTTGTTTGTTTGGTTGCTCCCACAGGTATTTTTCAGAAATGAGATTTGATTATGGCAATTTATTACCGCCAAGCTGATACTTTGAGCTGAGCAATGGCAGGCACGCTTTAGAAGGATGGGATTGAAATGTGCGCACACGGACGCAAATACACACATGCAGAAAAATGTGTATGCTCATAACAAGGTGCCAGAGTGCAGTGTGTACGTAATAGTGTTTGAAATGGTGATGCATGAGCCTGTTAACCAGCTGGCTCCTGATAAAAAGCTTGGCCATGGCCTGAAAATACACACACAGACACACACAAGCGCATACGTTGGCAAGTGAACACAAAATACATTGTTCCTCTTCTGATCTAATATCTTCTAACACAATCCATTCTCCTAAATTCTCACTTTTCTTGTCATTTTGTTGACTTAAAATCTCTTATTCTCATTTCCTTTGTAATCCCAGTTTTGATTTTTTGCCTTTTTAAATGTATTTTAAAGTTGGAAGTGGCAAAAATAATACTGATGCTACCTTATGAACTCAGTGTTAATAACATTAAAACGAAATGTATCTAGTTTTCTCTATACACTAAATTTTGAATTATTTATAAATTGGTGAATATGAAAAAGTTTCAAGTAAAATAAACTTCAACTGATGTTGTGTTTAGACGTCAGTTTTCTGACCTGCATATGAACATGCACACTTGCACATTGTTTATTTGCACTTTAACAAACAGAAATACATTTTATTGTTAAATTTATGTTAAATATGATCTGCGGAGAGAAATATCCCTATATCTATAAAATCATTAAAGTGGGCAGGCCAGGGAAAATACCAAGTTTTTACTGCCCAAAGAGTAGGACACATCCATGTGCACTAACACAGAAGTACCTGCATGTTTCTATTAATCGGTGCATGGTCACACACATTCACTGCCACCCACATATGAACATGCGCTCCCTCATAAATGACTGTGGTGACTGCATTGCCCCAAGGCATCCATTTAGGGACAGATTGCCTGTCATAGAATACGTATGGCATATTCAAATAAGACTTGCACACATGTACACACACACACACACACACACACACACACGCATGCACACACACACACACACACACACACACACACAGCATATCATATTTTAACTAGCCTTAGAGCCAAGCACTGATTCTTGTTAAAAAGTCTCTCACACGATGAACCTGGTGTTTACGCCTGTTCATGATTATTGAATACAATTACAAGTGAAACAAATTGGGTAAGAATTATTATGTCTACTCTGAACATGTAAATTATATATTAAAAAAAAAGAAATATACATGTCATTTAAATTAAAAATCTAAATGACAAGAAGCTAAAAGCAAACTGTTGTTTGGTCAATTCAGTTTTGTCTTTATTTCTTTTATGTCTCTAATTTCCTTCATCAAAATATCAGGAAGCTGCTGCAGGTTTTGAATTATTCATTAGAACATTAGGTCCCTTTCTTCTTCTGACGAGTTAAAATGTATTCCTGTTAAATAGCAACCCCTCGAAAACTATTTTTAACAGGAAAACAATGTTTTTATTGTTAATGCATTTAATAAATATTTTGTTTTTATTTTGATATCTTGCTTTTTTTTTACACCATGACTCATTTTTATGTTTATGTTTCAGTCTTGCATCTCTTCATTTTCTTTCTTTCTCCCACTTCATTCTTTTCTTATAGTTGCTGAATTTATTATTTTATTTATTGCTCAGTAAAATTAAGTGTTTGGCCTTAGGTGAGTGATCCATCATAAGTAGAGGGCCTGGTCCTAATGATGGCAGTTTTATTCACTCACTCACCTTTTCTATTGCTCTTTCTCTGTCTGTCTGTCTGTGTGTGTCTGTCTGTGTCCGTCTGTCTGTCTTTCTGTGTCTGTCTGTGTCTGTCTGTCTGTCTTTCTGTGTCTGTCTCTGACAGTCTGTTTGTCTCTGTCTGTCTGTGTCTCTCACACGCACTCAGGTCTGCTCAAAAACTAGACTAAATACAGTTTTGTGTATAAATATGCAACAACTAACACATTTTTGCACTTTATTTTCACCTGATCAGATTGAGCTCTGCACTTTCTTTATCGTTTCTTAAAATATAATTTCATTCTGTTTATTTGTGTCTTTTTCTCGCTCTTTCTCTGTTTCCAGGTCTGTCATGTGACCGCTGTGAGTTTGGTTATTGGAACCTTTCCCACCCAGACGGCTGCATCCCATGTGACTGTGACCTCTTAGGTTCTCTCAGCTCATTCTGTGAGCCTGAGGGGGGCCAGTGTGAGTGTAAGCCCGGGGTGGGGGGCCGACAGTGTGACTCTTGCGGCAGCGGCTTGCATGGTTTAGGACACAAGGGATTTTGTGCCCCTTGCAACTGTTCATATGATGGGACAGTACCAGGAACAGACTGTGATCCATACACAGGCCAGTGTGTGTGCAAGGCATGTATATCTTTTTCATACTCGGTCAAGTTTATACGCCGGCGTAAGCAGGACGTATTATGATATAGTCTCCATGTGTACGTATGAATGTACACGTTCTCTTGTCCCTAAAATAGTGACTAACATCTACCTGAATCTTTGCCTGTGAACAGATGAAATTCAAAGTAAATATATTTTGAAAGAATATAACAGAAATTTTGTTTATGAATACATTTGCCAACAGATTAGAAAATTAAAAATATACAGTAATCCCTCGCTACTTCGCGGTTCGTTTATCGCAAACTCGCTCTATCGCGATTTTTCAAAATAAGATTGGACGTGACACACAATTGGCTGATTGATGGATGAGCCACATGACACGATCTGCATGGAATTTTTATCCATCCATCCATCCATCCATTATCTTCAGCCTTTTCACACTCTGATGCGAACTGCTCCAGTGAGAGCTGAAGATCACGGCACGATGATGTCAACAGGACCACATCATCTGCAAAGAGCAGAGATGGAATCCTGAGACCACCGAACTGGAAACCCTCTGACGGCTTGTTGCACTGAGAAATTCTGTCCATAAAAGTTACGAACAGAATCGGTGACAACGGGCAGCTCTGGCGGAGTCCAACTCCCACCCTGAAGGGGTCCAACTTACTGCCGGCAATGCGAACCCAACTCTTGCAACAGGGGTGCTCCATGGAATTTTTGTTTAAAACTAATTATTTTTCATTATTTAGCACCTGCTGCACATTTGTGCAGTCCAGAGCAGCAGAAAAAGCGTCCTCCTGCACCTTTGTGCAACCCATACTGTAGGATAAACTTCCTGTTGCAGCTGATCAGCTGTTCTTCGTGCAAAGTGTAGAAGTGGGCGTGGCCAAGAGCGCTTGCAGGTGGCAAAGAGCAAAGGAAGCAGGGAGCTGAAAT